CTGGCGCTTTACATTGGTGCTGCGGATTTGAACTCAGATCCTTGTTTACACAATAGGCATTCTCTACCCACTGAACCATCTTCCAGCACTAAACGCTCCTTTTAGAAGGAAAAGAGAAAGAGAAAAAAGGCAAGTAGCAGTGGTACATGCCTTTAATCCCAGCACTCAGGAGGCAGAGGCAGGGGCTCTCTATGAATTTAAGGCCACCCAGATCTACATAGTAAATTCTAGGCCAGCCAGAGCTACATAGTGAGGCCCTGTCTCAAAAAAAAAAAAAAAAATCCATCAAGCTGGGCAGTGGTGGCTCATGCCTTTAATCCCCAGCACTAGGGGGCTGAGGCAGGAGGATCCCTATGAGTTTGAAGCCAGCCTAGTCTACAAAGTGAGTTCCAGGACAGCCAGAACTGTTACACAGAGAAACCTGTCTCAAAAACAAACAAAACAGGAAACAATCATCCGATCAATAAATCAATAAAATAAAGAAGGGTTGGGGTGATACCTCAGTGGGCCAAGTGCTTGTCACACAGGCATGAGAATCTGAGTTCCATCCCCAGGCCCCGTAAAAAGTAGGTATGGTGGTACAGAGTTGTAATCCTAGTGCAGGGAGGCAGGAGCAGGCAGAACCCCAGGGCTTGCCAGCCATCTAGCTTATTAGTGAGTTCCAGGTCAGGAAGAGCCCCTGTCTAAAAACAACCAAGGTGGATGGCTGCTGAGGCATCACATCCAGTGCTGACCTCCGGCCTCTGCATACACATGCATGCATAAAGACATGCACATACCCATGCATAGAGAAGAAACCAGACAGTAATCCCCCACCCCACCCCCACCAAAGTACCTATGATGTCAGGAGACAAAGCTGCCCCCTCCAGGCAATAAACAGCTCTAAGGTAACTTCAGGCTAGCCCTCAATGTTCAGGGAGCCTTGTGGAGAACTGGCCGGCTCATACTGTATCCACCCACCACCACCACACACACACACACACACACACACACACACACACACACACACACACACACGGTGCAATGTACCACCAGGAGAAATGATCTGTTGGATGGTATCCACAGGGGATGAGAAATTACAACCGGCCTGTGATTTACAGAGGATATAAAAATACTACTCAACACAGTGAGTTCCTTTTGAGTCAGGATTTTATAGTTTCTATAAAAATGATGCACACTTGTTATAAAATATAATCATGAAAATTCCAGGAAGGAACCAAGTATCCTCCAGTTCCAGCCCTCAAAGCCTTCGATGTTGCTATGCCGGGTTCCCGATATCTCGGTGGAGATGGATGGACAGGGGAGCTGTCACGGATGGAGCCACCATGACATGTTTAATCGCAGCTGCCCTTGACTGTTAAGTACATGGCTGCTCATTTTGTCATTTGCCAGCAAAGGCTTGGGAAAAGGACAGAACTCTGAAGGCCGCAGGTATGGCAATTCATACCTGCAATTCCAGCACTTGGGAGACTGAAGCAGAGTTCAAGGCCAGCCTCGGCTACAAAGTGAGAGCCTCTCTCAAACAAAACAAAAAAGGCCGAGGACATGGCTCAACCATCAGAGTGCTTGCCATGCAGGCGTAAGGACCTGAGTTGGATCCCAGCACCCTTACTACAACAAAACAAAAACCTGGGCATGTTTGCACGTAACTCTAGACCTGTGGGGGCTGGAGACAGGGGGATCACTGGGACTTGCTGGCCACCAATTTAGTCTTTTAGTGAAAGACTGTCTCAAGAGAGGAAGGTGGAGACTAATAGAGCAAGAGACCTGATATCTTCCTCTGGCCTCTGCATACATGAATACACACACACACACACACACACACACACACACACACACACACACATGAGGATGTAAGGAGCAACACCTTTTGTCGTCCTCTGACTTTCACTTGAACCCGTGTGTACTTGGGCACACGCACAAACGTCGAAAAGACACTGTGTATGACCTCAGAACAGAATTAACACTGGTGACACATGGCGGCTAAGTCCCCAGCCTTCAAACCTCTCCCAGGGTCCTTTCTGGACAAGACCCACTGACCCAGCATCTCCATGTCCCTTCTGCTCAGCCCTGGAGAGTTGCTCAATTTCTTTCCCCTCGGCAGGATGGGCAAGGGAGTGGTCAGCTTGGATCTGGTGGATGCTTCCGTGAGGTCAGATTCTGGGGTTTCGGGGAGGGGAGCCAGTCCAAGAGAGATTCTACGTCTTCCATGTGTCTAGTTCCTGAGGATGACCAGGTGGCCAATGACGTCCCTTTTATTATTTACTTTGTTTTCCGAGACAGGGTTTCTCTGTGTAGCCCTGGCTATCCTAGAACATGCTCTGTAGACCAGGCTGGCCTCCACCCCAGAGATCCCGAGTGCAGTGTTGAGATTCAAGGCATGTGCTACCATGGCCTGGCGATGTCCCTTTTAAAGTCGCTGTACTGCCCTTTGTGATTGACACCTCTCTGGAGCTGAGATTTCTAGAAGACTTCATACATCACAGTTTGCTGCTAACTTTGGTGACCTCTGATGTCTCTTGTCTGTAGCCACCAACAATATGTTAGACCACTTTTTTTCTGTGCTAGTCAGAATGAAAAAGCAGGGGCTAATGTAACTGGTCCACCTTTCCCAGTGATCTGTCAGCTTGCACTGTGAGCTCAACTGACCGCTGCATGCTTTTCTGCTCGGTTTGCCTGAGGCAGCAGCCACTGGGGTGCCTCCTGCGTTCTTTCAACAAGCTCCTGATTCTCGCATTTCTCTGCTTTCTGCATACATACTCAGGCTCACCTTGTCCTTTCCCTGCCTTGGCCTTGGCCAGCAGCACCCCGGTTCTTTGGCTGAGACACTAGTATTAGGACGCAGCAGACCCAGGACATCCATCCATCATGGCTCCCAGGCCCAGGAAACATTGTGAATGTATCCGCAACAGCCTCCACTTGGAGACTGGGTCTCACATGACCTATGCCAGCCCTGAACTACGAGGATGACCTTGAATTTCTGACCTTCCTGCCTTTGCTTTCCTAGTGTTGGAATTACAGCCGTGTACCACGCCTGTTTATGCGATGCTGGGGTTGCAACCCAGGCCTTCGTGCATGCTAGGCCAGCGCACTACCAACTGAGCCACCTGCCCTCCCGTCCACGCCTATCAGCAGCATCTCCCACCCTGCCCAGCTCCGCTGGCTTACTGGTGTGGTCCTCCATACCCAGGCTCTTTTGAGTGTGGGTCACCATCAAGGCGTGACATGGTTCCCCGTGCGGGTGCTCAGGCACCCACTTTGCTGGTACACTTCCGTTTACTCTAATTTCTTATTCCTTTTGTTTGTTTGTTTACAGTGGATGGCTGTGTAACCTCCTGCACCCCTTCCTCTGAAACACGTGGCAGACTTTACTCATTTAGTAGGTGTATGGTCAGGGGCTGGGCCCCATCAGCTCAGAATTCTTTTTTTCTTTTTCCAGACAGGGTTTCTCTGTGTAACAGCCCTGGCTATCCTGGAACTCACTCTGTAGACCAGGCTGGCCTCACACTCACAGAGATCCACCTGCCTCTGCCTCCCGAGTGCTGGGATTAAAGGCGTGTGCCACCGCCGCCCTGCTAGCTGGAATTCCCTTTTGGGCTGCTCAGGGCTAAGGTACACGTGCATTCACAGCAGGCGACATCTCTGCAGCTTTCCTGCCCTGCAGCTCACCCGGGCATCTCGTACTCCAGTGAGTGAGCTTGGCAATCATGAGCAGTGCTGTGACGACACCACTGTGGAGGATAAAAGCAAGGCTCACGGGTGATGACGCGTCCAATGTGAAATGTTTTGCATGAGACATTGCTGCGGGCCTGTGCTGTGTGGCCAGGCTTGGTAAGAATGTGGAAACAAGCAGACCTTGGGGGTACTTGACTGTGGGTTTAACCAAGAAAGAGTCCTGTGCAACAGAAAACGGGGCTCCCAGCCGCTCACATCGACTGGAGCAAGGGCAGCCTGTGCCCAGAGGCCAGCATCAGCAGAGCCTGTGAAATACCAGGGTTGCTGCCTGAAACCAACAGGGTCTCTCTATGTGGCCCTGGCTGTCCTGGAATTCACTGTGTAGACCAGGCTGGCCTCGAACTTAGAGATTCACCTGCCTCTGGAGTGCTAGAGATGTGGGCCACCACACCTATACCCCACCCCCATCTCTTCCCATCTTCACCAGTCAGACAGGAGCCAGGCAAGCAGTCTGGGCTAGCTCTTCTCCGACAGCTCTGGGGAGGCACAGATCTGAGGGTGCTTGAGCCTGGTGGCGCCTGGCATTGGCATTTTGCTGCCATCTCTGGATTCCTGCACACAGCAAAAGCCCCCAGTCACCCGCGTCAGCACAAAGGCCCCCGGATGTTAAACAACCCGCAGCTCAGTACTGCTTACGGCTCACGCTCCAGGGTCACTGCTCTGCAGCATGGCACAGGAACTCCGTGTTTCCATATCTACCAGTGCTGGCTTGAGACCCCCGGGTGCTTGAGACCCCCCTGTGGAGGCGTACAAGCGGGTTACTGAAAGGAAAACCTAGTTTTAGAAACATCTCGGGACATCCAGAAAACAACCTTTAGGAGAAAGACATCTGCCGCTACCCTAGAAAAATGAAGTTGAGTGGGTGAGATCCACCAAGCCCGGGGACCAGGGTTCAATCCCTGGGACCCGCGTGTGCAAGGAGAGAGATGACCCCTGTAAGTTGTCCTCTGGCCCACACACTGGGACAGTGCTCCCCTAAATAAATAAATAAATGCCATTTAAGAAGCAGGAAAGTGTGCCGGGGACACAGTTCCGGGCAGTAGAGTGCTTGCCTAGCATGCAGGGAGCCCGGGTTCTACCCCCACACCACAGGAGCCTGGTGTAAGGGCGCACACCTGTAATCCCAGCACCGCAGGCCTGGAGGCGGAAGGATCAGAAGTTCAAGGTCATCCCTGGCTACATAGGGAGTTTGAGGCCAACCTGGGCTACAGGAGACCATGTCTCAAAACACACAAAACAAGAAGTCAGATATGTCAAAAGCCAAAGAGTTTCTCACTTCCTGCTTTGTATTCCAGTTTTGTTCAAAAAGAACACAGACAAAGGGAAGCACGCCGGTGTGCGTCTGTGAGCACGAAAGCAGACGTTCTGTGGTCGCACGGTTTCACCGACAGGTTCTGGTCGGAAGACTCAGTGTGGAGAGCTGTCCAGGGCTCTGTGGTGTGACGGCCACACAGGGCAGGACATCTTAGCACATCGCTGTTGGCCCCTGAGAGAATCCTGTGACATACACAACGGAAGAATAAAACCACTGTCTGGAGGGAAACCAAGGACAGCTGAGGAGACGTTTTGGGGTGTGCTGCAGGGCTGGGCCATGCTCTAAAGTCCACTTGGGGACGCCCTCCACTGGGCAGCAGAGGTGAGTCTCAGGTCCCCGGGCCCTGTGGACAGAAGGGCTCTGCTCCAGGCAGCTGGGGACGTGGGTCTGTAGCTCTCCTCTCAACATTTGTCCTTGGCCTCCGGCTTCTCATCCATCACATCTCTAAAGCCCAGCTTTTCCAGTGGTTCCGGCGCCATCAGCTGCCTGGAGGAGAAAGATGCTGTCACGGGACCACGCTCTTATGCTCATTTGCCTGCCCGGCCTCCCAGCACCCCCATTTTAAAACAGAAAACAGACCCAGAGATCAGTGTCCCTCCCACAGGGCGAGGAGCCAATAGGCTGTGTGAGCCCCAAGGTCCCTTCCAGCCACAAGGTCAGCCCAAGTTCACAAGGGCAGGGGCTGAGGATGTGGGCGGGGCCATCAGTGGCACAGGACCCCACAGGTGTGAGCAGAGCCTGGGAGAGCTGAGGCTAGGTAAGTGTCCCCATAGTTGAGGAGGACAGGGGTGGGGAGGGCAGGGCTGGTCAGTGAGCTCCCGGCCAGCGAGGCTCTGTCTCCAAAGTGGGATGGGCGGTCCTGACAAAACCCAAGGTTGACTTCCTTTTTATTTTATTTATTTTCTGTTTTTTTTTTTTTTTAGATTTATTTATTTATTATGTATACAGAGGAGGGCGCCAGATCTGATTACGGATGGTTGTGAGCCTCCATGTGGTTGCTGGGAATTGAACTCAGGACCTCTGGAAGAGCAGTCAGTGCTCTTAACATCTGAGCCATCTCTCCAGCCCCCTATTTTCTGTTTTTTTGAGACAGGGTTTCTCTGTGAAGCAGTCCTGACTGTCCTGGAACTCACTCTGTAGACCAGGCTGGCCTTGAATTCAGAGAGCCGCCTGCCTCTGCCCTCGTGTGCTAGGATTAAAAGCATACACCACTGGGGCTGGAGAGATGGCTCAGTGGTTAAGAGCACCGACTGCTCTTCCAGAGGTCCTGAGTTCAATTCCCAGCAACCACATGGAGGCTCACAACCACTTGTAATGAGATCTGGTGCCCTCTTCTGGCTTGCAGGGACACATGCAGGCAGAATATTGTGTACATAATAAATAAATAAATCTTTAAAAAAAAAAGCATATGCCACCACCCCCGGCTCCAAGGTTGACTTTCACATGCACAAAATGCACATGCGCGTGCACACACACACACACACACATACACACTCACACACACACAGCCAAAGGAATCTTTCAAGGTGCCTCTGCCTCCGAAGGGAACCCACCTAGAAAGAAGTCCTTCAGATATCTAAGGCAGGAGCAGGAGCACTCAGGCGAGCCCTAGCTCTGGCGCCTTCCCGAGGTCGCAGCCATGACTGACTGTCCCGGCAGCACTCACTCCAAGCACAGTGTGACAGGTTTTCACAGCCTCCTGTCATCTTTACCTCTCTGGAGTGGGGACAGGGGGGCTGCAAGGCCAGCCCCTGAGGTTACCCATGCCCATGAGGCCTAAGGAGGGATGCTGTGATTTATTATTTATTTTATTTTATCTTTGTTTTTCGAGACAGGGTTTCTCTGTGTAGCTCAGGCTGTCCTGAAACTTGCTCTGTAGACCAGGCTGGCCTTAAAGTCACAGAGATCTGCCTGCGCTTGCCTCCCTAGTGATGTGATTAAAGACCTGCGCCATCACTGCCCAGCATTTAATTTTATTTTTAATTGCATTTATTTATGCATTTGTGTGTGTATGCGCTACATCAACTTCAAGTATATGTGTGATGATTTCATTACCAACTAGCCTAACAAAATAATGGACCAGCCAGGCATGGTATCATACACTTGTCATCCTCCCACTCAGGAGGCTGAGGCAGGAGGACTGCCAGAAGTTCCAGGCCAGACCTTGCCTAGACAATTAAAAAAAAAAAAAAACCAAACCCACCAACTAAACAACAAAACCAAAAAACCAAACCAAACAAACAAAAAACCCCACCAACTAAACAATAAAATCTTCCCAATACCAGACAAAACCAGAAACATCTTTGCTTGCCTGCACTCACCTAGCTCAGGGCCCTGTAAGTCACAGAAGCGGGCGGGTCCTTCCTTCCAGGCTCTGAGGCACCTGTTCCACATGGTGCTGAGTGCGGCACAGACCCATGGGGACCAGAAGGCCTGGCAGCACTAACTCACTAACAAACAGGCAAGAAGTCCCTCTGCTGGTCCTGCCCAGAAGCCTTGCCCATAGACTAAGTCACTTCCCAGGGGACCGCAAACCAGCCACACCCTCCGAGCAATCACAGGAGCCACTGTGATCTGTGCTAGGCACTAGAGTCAAAACAAGTCCGCTCATTTTTGTTCTTTTTTGGCAGGGGGTGGGGGATACTGTGGGTAGAACCCAGGAACTCACACACTCTGAAATGCATCACCACTGAGCCACACCCCAGCCCCTCACTGGGGGATTCTAGGCAGGTGCTCTACCACTGAGC